TCTGTCCCCCAGATCCTCATACCTGAGGTTGGGATCTTGGTTTCATTTGATGAGACTAAGTACTTTTTTCCCTCTCCCGCAGCGTTTCATTATGTTGTTAACTGAGCACTTAGTGCGCTGTGAGACTGGTGGAATTGATGTATTTACACCTTGGTACAAGAGCTGTATAGAGAGGTTGCAGCAGATCTTCCTGCAGGTAAGTTTCATTTCTCAGTTTGGAAGGCTGCGGGCCGGGGCGTGCTGGATAGGCAAGCTTTGTGGCTGGAGCACTGAGCACTCCATGAGAGTAGCAGTAGGTGGCAGCAGCACGTCTTCTCTGAAGGCTGGCGTAGGGCTAGGTCATAGCTCTGGTTCCGGCCACAGGCTGGTGGAGTGGCTCGTCCTTGATTAATTCCCACACTGCGAGCATATTGCAAAAAGGTACCGAGATGTGGTTATGAATTTCACCGAGCTCCTCTTAACTGTATGTTTATATTAAGGGCAAAGTTGTGAGCAAATAAGAATGCTGAAGTAGATGCAATTTAAATAAGTGGATTAAAATATTGCAGAATTCCTTTTAATAAGGTGCATAAATATCTATTAAAAGTAAGTTTTGAATTCTTGGCTCTGTATTAAATCAGATAGCAAGCACAGGTGGCCAGATGAAGATGGTAGCAATAGAAAATTATACCTGTGAGAGCAGAAGATATGTTGAAGAATGAGAGTGGTGGTATAATTCTCCACTGGGCTGAACTTTTCCCTGGTGGTAGATGTGGCTTCAGAGGAAAGCAAATACCATGAGTCTCCTAGGATACCTCTGCAGTTGCATGGTATCCTGCACACAATTCAGGGTTGGGGAGCGGAGAGCCACAGGGAGCACAGTGCTTCTCAAGACAGGATTTCAGCACATGCTTTCTTCTTGCAGTCAGTAGTAGCTCTGCATTATGCTCTTCTTGTCAGTGGCTACTGTGTCGTGGAAATGAGGTGTGAATAAGAATTTTGATGAAAGCATTTGACCTGTGATTCTTACATATCTTGACTTTTCTGCCTGTTCTGATCTGAAGACAAATTAAACAGTAAAGGTTTATGGTTTTTGTTTTTTTGTCTGCCAGCATCACCAGATAATCCAGCAGTACATGGTGACCCTAGAGAACCTCCTGTTTACAGCTGAACTGGACCACCACATACTGGCTGTATTTCAGCAGTTCTGTGCTCTGCAGGCCTGAGGATTATTCATGGGCAGAGTCTTGTCTGCAGGACTTTAATGAATTTAATTTTTTTTTTTTAATTGGAAAACTTGACATGGGGATGGAAGAAATTTCTGACTAAAACTGGCTTTCATGTGCTCCTACATAAAACAATACAGTACTCTAACCAACAGCAAACTGTGTAAGCATCATAAGCCTTACAAGATATGACTGATAGGGGATAGATGTGAAGTAAAGTGTGAATTCTTTTTGTTGTCTTTTAATTTGGTTTGACTCTTGACTTTATGATAGTATTTTTGTTTCTGTTGTTTATATAAAAATAAAAATCAGGCAAAAACCCCAAACAAACAACAAAACCCCAAACAATAGAATTTGTTACCTCTGCCTGGCCCTTAAATCAAAGGAATTGCAGAAATGAGGAAGAGTTCATAGTGTTTTGTGAGTATGAAAGGGAATGCACCTTCTCCGTGAGCAGCGTGGTAACAGGAAAAGTGACTTATCTTTGGGCATGTGAAACACTTGAGTTGAGCTTTCAAATAGCATAGAGCATATGGATTTGTTTATTACCAAGCCAGCTAGATTTTCACAGTTTGAAAGAACATGGTTGTAATACAATATAAGTATGTTTTTTGTATGTATTGTCTAGTGTCTTATTACAGTAGCTATAAACAATCGGTAGAGGAACTTCACAGACAGCTTCTGAAAAACACAATCCTTTTTGCAGTATGGTCAAAGAATCACGAACTGCTCCTGGCAGCAGTCTTCACTGGTAAATAGGGACTGTCGGCAAGAGTTGGTGTGGAACAAATGTTCGACTTCCGCGCTGCAAGCCTTACCTGAGTGTTGGGAACTCCCACCCCAGGTGCCAGGGGAGAGGGCAGGGCTGTGGTCAGCTTGTTCCTTTATTTCTGCCTGTAACTAGCTGGGCTGCCAAGCTTGCTCTGGGCTGGACCCGCAGGCCTGCAGCGATGCCAGAAATCTGGCTGGTGGTGACAGTGGATGGACCATGTGCCCTCCCCTCACCTGGCTTAGTAACTGCTGCTTTGCAGTGGCTGCATCTGCTGCCCTTCCCTGGCTTTCAGATGTGACAACAGCACCTAGCTCCAATGTCTTCAGAAAGCATTTTAGTGCTAAATTAAGTGATCCCTCACAGGAGGCTTAGACTGGGAAAACACAGCCTGAGAATAGTAGCCTTAGTTTTGGGTTATGCAAATAACATTACGTAGGTGAAGGCCAAGCCAGGGTGGTCCGTACTGCAGTAAGCAGTGATGAATGGCAAGGACACTGCCTGGGGTGCTCAGGTCCGTTGGTGTACAGTGTATTTCCAGGCCGTTCATGGTCCCTTCATTTTGCAGATGAATATTTAAAGACTCATACTCAGTGCTACTCAGTTTAAGCTTAGAAAGTGATGAGCTTTGAGTAATTTTGTTCCTGTACAAATTATTTTTTCAAGTGTTATGCCTAGTGATGCATTTCATCCGTACGCTGACCAATTGACCTCCTCGTCAAGCAAGGAGGGTAAAAAAATGAAACTTCTTACTTTTGAGTGTTGACCTAAGTTTATGTGTGGACTGTAGCCATCCGATATGTCATTGTAGACTTAGATCTCTTACTTCTGCTTTCTTGGCTTGCCCTTTCTGATTTGACAGATCCCTCCATTCTTTCAGGGTATGCTGTTAATTGTTGGTAAATTTGCTTTACACAAGGGATTTGTCACTCATGCACAGACTTCTGCTTCAAATCTTTCTGTTAAAATGTTCTTGAGCAATCAAATAAGTTTGTTTTGTTTTTTTTTAAGAAACATTTAATACTGTAGAGATTTTAATTGGGGTTTAATAGTTTTTTCACTGGCTCGGCTCAATATCAGAGTTCTAATTAACTAATGGTGGGGGTCTGACTGTAAATGTGACTTCTGTAAAACTGGTAACGCAGTTAAAACTTGCAAACCTGTAACTTCCTCTGAGCCTTGACAGATACGGGTGCTGGGGATCCAGTTGCAAATGCCTGAGCCTAATCCTATGATTTAAAACCAAATAGCAATGTCTTTCAAAATTGGTTTGACTTCCATGGTGAGCATGGGCTTTGATTACATTTTTTGAGTCTGTTGGACACCTTCCCCTCATTGTAGGTCCAGCGGCAGACACCTGACTTGCCTAGGAAACTGCTTGGATCTCTAGGAAAGAGAGTGAGATGCTAACTGGCGAAACCTGGAACTGCTGAAGCACGAGGTGGTGGATAGTGTAAAGATGCTGTAGAAATGTGGTGTGGTTGGAGAAAGTCCACAAAGACAAAAATAAATGAAGGTGAAGCAGGTTGCTAGTGGGAGTGTTTGTACTACCGATCCTGGGGGCCTCTGAAGCACAGCGGTCATGGGAGGGTTGTGCTGGTGTTAGATGCAGTCGGATCTGGAGCGGTTGTTTCCCCTGCGCTGTTGCGGATCCCCCAACTGACACATAATCCCTCACCTCCTTGTGCTGCAGGCCGTTGGAACACGCCTCCCCCACCCACGCAGCAAGTGAGGCAAGCCTGTGCGCTGCTGGGTGCCAGGAGGGTGCCGGTGTGGAAATTCTCCCCCTCCCTTGCCGCCTCCAGTCTTCTGGGCGGTGCTACTGCAGGAGAGGAGGCAGGGGTGGGCCGGTGGCGCTTGCCAAGGGGCAGCTGCTGCACCCCGCCCGCAGGTACGTGATTCAGTGGACGCCACCCAGCTGGCCTGGAGAGGAGTTTTGGGACCCAAGACAACACGAGGGTTGTGGAACCCTGATGTGGAGGACTCCCTCCAACAGCTCTGCCAGGACCTGCCTCCTGCCCTCCAGCCAACCCCTGTGCCCCTTTTGTAGGGCCTTGCAGGGCCCTAGGTGCTCTGTGTGTGGTGGGCAGGCCAGTCACTGAGGGCTGCAGGCCAGGGGAGAGCGTTGGAGAAGAACCACCATCGGCCCTCCCTAGACACCTTCCTGTCTAACACTTCGGTTCTGCACAGCCACAGAGACCCAGGCTCCCCTAGGAAGTCTCCTCCAGAGACTTCATGGAGATCTGCCGCACTTACAATGGCAAACAAATGCAAAGCGTGTTCGCTCTCGCCTCAGCCATTTCCGACAGCATTCCACAAGAGCCCCTTTGAAATTTCAGAAATTTCAACTTCAAAGTAAATCCACCCCCACTGAAAGGAAGCATCACTGTGGTGCACTTAGACCCACCTTGGAATGCTACTTCCCCTGCCGCCACCCTCCCCCCCAGGACAGGCATTTGCCCTTTTCATTTGCAAATTGCTGAAGTTGTATTGTCAGAGTCACCTTTGGCCAACTCGAAAAAAAAGCAGTAGAGGGTACTCTTAAGGACTCTCCCCTACTCAACATGGTGGATGTGTCAGAACCTCCCCAGGAGCATGCGGCTTTCCTTTTGAGAGAGAATCCTCCAGTTAATGGACTCTCCCGATCCAAGCAGGAGGACAACCTGCCTCATGGCACGGCCTCCATCTGCCAGAGGTACTGCACCAGCAAGCTGCCCTCTGCCCACCCACTAGTCACAGCAACAGGAAAACAGACAAGTTAGTTAGAACAGCGCATGGAGCCTGCCTCCTCTAACAGCAGCAGAGAAGTAGGAAGCTCCCCTTTACTTCATCAGTATATGGAGCAGAATGATACCAACTTACTTATCTTTTGGCACACAAGGTAGCAATTTATTGAGCGGTCACAAAGGTGTTCTGTTCTGCCCTAACATCTCGTTTAAGAAGCAAAGCTTATTGTTCTGCGCAGAGCTTCTTGTAACTGAGGAACATCATTCTTCATCAAACTTGACAACAGCTTGTTCATAATTAGCATTTATTTGATTTTAATACAAAATACCATTAAAAAGATAATGAAAATTTAAAAAAAAAAACCACAACAGATTAACACTACATCTTCTCATAAGTTAATTCATGGCCACATACAGTACATGTCTTTTTATATGTATCTTCATCAATGTTTTCTTCTGGTCCATACTCATGTTCATGGTTACTAGCTTCCTTCTTCCACAAGCTGCTCCTCACAGCACGGCGGAGTTCTGATTAGAAATACAAGAAAATTTTGAGATTTGAATACATCTTAAATAATTGTTAATAAAACTTAAGCTAACCACCTTGCCGAGAACTACAGATGGCAATCTGCTTGTTGCCTGCTGTCCATAAATTTTGGGTGAGGATCTGCTATTGCAAGAACAAGCTTTGACTTGCCTTGCAATCTTCACCTTGTCTGCATATTTTGAAGGCTAATAACTACGCCAACATAAGATCTCGCAGGAGAATATTTCCCATCTGGACTGAGTACACATTGCCCACTGCCTTTTTACGCAAAGCCATTCAAAGGTATCCAAAAGGGGCAAGTGGAATGCAGAGGGAAAGTTTTTACAAAACACCTCATTGTTTTACAGGACCAAGAACGAGTAGTTTTCATTCAGGTCACAGTAAGCCTCCCAAATGACTTGGCATTCTCCAAGCTTTATGCCCAATAACGTGAGCTGCCTCTGCAGCAGCCGCAGTGAAATCAGCGGGGTTTTGAGAGCACAAGCCGAGCCCAAGATATTATCCGGATGTTGCAAGCGGGTGGCAAGTGTGCCAAACAGCAAAACGCAGCCCCGTTTCGAGCCGAGCCACTCGGGCTGCACGCCCCGTCACGCTGAGGCCTGTGCTTGCACTGAGCTCTGCCATCCTGGCTACGGCCTGCTGCCCGTGCTTCGGCGTGCCGAACGCCAACGGTCAGGACAGCGGTTATCTGCTCGGCTGACCTTCTGCCTCCTCCAGGCAGCACCAGTGCTGCCAGCTTAAGCTGCCTGCTCTACTGAATGCTGACCCAAAGTGATGCACGAAGCCACGGGCAGCACAGGCGTCACAGTAAGCCACAGCTCTCGCACAGAAATGAACATGCTGTCTTTTTTTAAAATTACTAGCAGGTCTGAAAGCTGAAAGTGTTTTTCGAAAGTTCTAGCCATTGAACACTCTCCTAAGAACTAACTTATCAGGAAAAAACAAGCATAGTGAGCAGTAAAAACAGCAGCTGGGAATACTGCGAACAGTGGGAAAAAGCATTTTCTGCCTTAATATACCGTTCTTCGACCATGACAGCACTATAGCCCACTGCCGCAAAAACCCATGTTCTCCGCAAGTCAGGAAAAGTGACAGGAACCATCTATGGCACATTCTGGGTCATACCAAAACATTTAAAATGCCACAATGAACCATCGCAATTGATTTCTGTCACATCATGTCTGTAGGACAACAGCGTAATTCAGGTTGGAAGGGACCTCAGACCTCTGGTCCAACCCTCTGCCCAAAATAGACAGCTATGAGGTCAGACCAGACTGCTCTGGGCTTACCCACACAGCTCTGGAAAACCTCCATTTTGCCACACTGAGGATTTTCGAAACACTTTATAATCAGATGCAGAAACAAATTCAATCAGAACTGTACTTTACTTCAGGTACTGCAGTATGTAAGTTTAACCCTTTACCTTTAACTTTCTTATCAAACTTCTTCTGTTTCATCTTCTCTCTGCTGTCACGGCGGAGTTCCTTTGCTTCTTGCAGTGATTCTTCACTACCCCAGACTTCAAGAGAACGCTTGATTACCTGCAAGGAAGACATAAATGTGTTTCTTTTTCCCCTGAAACAATATAAGTAAACTATACTAACTCACAAATTTAATTTTTTCTCTACACATACACATGCCAAACCAATCTTGCCTCTGCCTCCCATCTGTCTCTTTGCTCTTGACCTGCTAACATGGCATTCCTTACACAGCAAGAAGCAACGCTGATTTTTAGATCAGCTAAGTGCAACTTAAGTCAGGAAAGTCAAACCCAGCTCCAATTTTTTGCATATTCCACTAAAGCAGCAAACAAGAAATGACATGAGCCCTGGGAAACCTGCTTGCCTTTCCTGCTGCCTCTGAGGGCAGAGCTGTGAACAAGAGCTCACAGCAACAAAGGGCCAGGCGCAGCAGCAGCTGCCCCACTGAGGGTGTGGTCCATGAACATCTTTAAAATGCTCTCAAACACAGACATGTTCATGAATTCTCTTTATTCTAACTATACAGGAAATTTACACAAGCTATGCATAATATACTTAGCTTTGACAAAACCATTTAGAAATCAGAGCTGAAGTGACACCATTTTGGCTACCGAAGCTGTACAAAGGTAAAAAGAAGTCTGAAATAAGGTAACAGTTTCTATACCTGTAGTTTTAAATAAAGTTTCATGTCACCCCATCGTGAATTATGAGGGTTCTTCTTCACAATGAATCTGAGCACTGGCTCCCTCTTGTCTAAGTCACAGTCTTTAAGAAGATATTCTTCTTTTGCTTCTGTCCTTGTTATAAGCTTATGCTTATCTTCAGCATCTCTGAAAGATGTAAAATAATGGTGAGAAAGCTACACCTGAAAGCCACGTTATTAACATCTAAGTCCCCATCACTTTTAACATTCCTGAAATACAGGCAGCCCTCATTTTATGTATGCAAATTAACTTTGGATTCCAACACCTAGCAAAACTCCAGGACAGGTTTACTGAAATTCTCCCATTTGAGCAAACAGGCCAACAAGCCTGTTTTTCTAGAAGGGCTTTTCTTGTATTTTCTTACAAGAGAGAGTAACTGAAACTTAAAAGGAGTATGAGTAATTTTAGGTATTCACCTAACCCAGATGCAATTCAAGAGGACAAAGTACAAGCCTGACACATGGTCAGGAGAGAAAGAATGCGTAATGCGAGACAGGTCAGATCACCTGAGAATATACACACTCCATATGCTTCTAGATCCCAGAAAGAGATTAGCAACACAGAGCACTTGTTTGTATGCAAGACAGTAGGCAGAGGAACTGTAAAGACTCTGAAAGATGGTAACTTTTACCAGATAATGAAAAACCGTGCCATCACAGCAGCATTTGCGAGTTAATGAAAAAAACGTTTACGCAATCCTGACTGAAGTGTAACTTGAACT